TAGATGATCAAGCACACAATATGTTACTTTTACAACAGAATTGTCTGCGCTTTCACCCTATCAACAAATTACGTGTTCAGATTTTATATAAACCCACTTTGAGGTTTCTTTGAACAACAGAAGAATCGAGGAATAGACTGCAAACGCTAGCACCATCAGTGAACGAGGCGGCACAATATCTGTATAAATCGATCTTTATCTGACCAACACAATGTCATAATATTGGAACAGATGTAGATATGGACTTGGCGGCGAACGCGCTCCCAAAGCCGGCCTCAGCCCTCCGATAGCATTCACCGTCTTAATTTCACCTATCGTTCTGTTGCCGAAACAAGAACCATCGCACTTTTAAATCTAACTTACTTGAATAATATTGAGACGTTTAGATTTCTTAAGTGGAGTCTAAAGTAGAGAAAAGTTCTCTTTTGTCCACAGCCTACTCAAGTATCGTTCTAAATGCTATCGATATTTTGTTTACAAAAATTGCGAACGCTCTTTAGTTAAATAGTACGAGTAGAGCTCAATAATATATTCATAATATAAACCTTGGGTCCAAGAACCAAACCGATACATATATACAGTTTACATGTACTGTACCTAACAATCTAATAGTCCTTCACCGTTTTAAGCCCATTTTATGTGGTGAAACGTAATCTTATACAGTAGTTTTTAATAAACTAATTGGCCTTTACCGGAATCCTTATTATTTGTGCGAATCCAACAGGTGTCATATCCCGTTTTCAAAGATTTAATAACAATAAAACAAATTACTCTAACATATGATAGCCGTAAAATTATCTTAGATCCTAAACTTGTATGTGTTACTATTTTTGAAACAATACAAAGGTGAAACCTAGCGTTGATTTTTTCTTGGTCGAAATATGAAATATAGTTTATTGTTTTCTTCTACATGCTACGAATTACGGTGCAAATATTGAAATTCCAAATAAAGTATTACAGAATCGAAGTTGAATCTTTACCGTAATCTAACGGAGACAAGCGCCACGTAAGTTTCTCGACAACTGCAAGGACGAAGCGATTGTTGGACCAGGACGCCGTGAGAAACAGCCTCTCCTCACTTCTCAGCTCTTTGAGTTAGGAACGCCAAATACGCGAAACGATCCTGGACCCGATGCAAATCCAGCAACTCGCTGCCTGTGTAGGTGATCTTTCTTTAGGGACACAAGCAGAATCGTGACGAAAGAAACTCTGAAATTATAAAACACCATGGAATTAACTCTATTCACCTAGACGATCAAAAATTCTATCCCAAGAACAGATGAACAAAAGTCAATTCAGGAGCATTTTCTACACTAATAGATAAGTAATGAAATTTGTAGAAGATAACGGGTGAAAACTACAAACATATTGACCATCCAACGCTGCGCTGTACATAAGTCTTATCTTCTGAGCCTGGACATCAGGGTCTTGCATGAACTTGATTCGTCTTGTTCACACGAGGCAACGTCTAGCGCCATCTATCCATAAGTGGCAACAAAAACAGCTGGATAAATCTTAGAAGTCACTCAAGCCGGGTAATTATTGAAAAAATAATTGCGAATTTATTACCTACGACTTGTCAACCCGTGGGCCCGCTTCGGCCGGGAACGTTTCTATCGGGACTCCTCTGAAGTTTACCGGCAAATTCCTTCGGAGACTTACACCGGCCTCTGCGGCCGCAACAGCATTCTTACTCTTGTTTTTACCTCCCATTCCTCATCTGGCGGATCGCCGCTCGGGAAATGCGAGCGCTCGGCTTTTCAGCTTTCCTTTGCACTCAGTTCCACCGCTTCTTTAAATTGCCTCTGTCGATCGTCGGTCATTTATTGTATCTCGTATTTTTTACAAGAAATCCGATTTATTTTTGCGACTGACACTCAATTTATTTTCTCGGATCGCAAAGGGACTTGTTCTCAGCCTGATCTGAATATTTGCAAAATTGAAATTATTGTATGATGAAAGCTATTTGATTTTTCACGTCACAAAAGCTTACATGCATCAAACGAAATGTTTGAAACGTCTCAAATGTTGTAATAGAATTATATCTGTAGAAAATGTACTTAAAAATTCTAAATCATAAATCTCTCACACTACAATATATATATAATTAAATTGTAATATTGAGCTAGAAATCAGATTACAGTACATTCAAACTCCTAAAGGGTTCATCTAGAAAGGTTCGATTATCTCAATAGTCAAGCTACTTTGAATAGTTAACTGAATAAAATTAATAATTAAGCCCAATTTAGTTAAATTTATATTGCTCGTATTATTATCTATCTTTGACTTGGGGGGGGGGATGAAAATTGATCGTTACCCAGAAACACTATTGATTGCTATCACATCGACTTGTCTCGAGACCGAAGTGTAAACTATGAGTACAAACACTCGACTGCTCGACGCTGTCTCCGTATCAGTTATGATCACGGCTGATATTATCTGATGATGTTTAGATTTATAAAATCCATTAGATGGTATCATGTGTTTGAACAGGCTCCAGACAGTACGATTGCATTTCTGATATCCAAGCGGTGTTCTTTGACACCATAGTCTAAATACAACATGCAAAATAAAGTGTTTGTTCAGTACGTAATTCTTGAATTCTCATTGTGATTAAATAATAAAAATAAACAAATCAAGTGAGATATCAAAGGCGTGATCCTTAGATCAGTAAATAACAAAAAGTATTTCTTCACGATTCCATCGTAACGATTCGATTTATTAGAAAGTTTTTCATTAAAGAGTCTTTAAGACTAATGTAAATATCACATCAAAATATATGGGAATTACAAATGCAGTTGAAGAAAGATATTAGAAGAAAAACTGAAGAAGGCTGATACAAAGAATATGATCACATCCAAGGCAATAAGACCATAATATTTGTTTTGAGATGCTAAATATTACATTTTGTAAAGCTTATTGGTACTATGAAAGATTTCTTCTAAAGTACTTTCAATACGCCTATTCGGATAACGCTACAGTTAGGCTACAAAACATAGTTTCTTGTTTCAAAGATTTGAAACTCCGCAGAACACATCGTCCATTATATCTGTTTGGTCTTAACTAACAAGAATTATAAATTTAATCTGCTACACTATCCACGAATTTATACTACGATCTTTTATTCTATCCCTGTCCTATTATATATTGAATTTTAACCTCTTTTTAAGTTAGCTTCTAGAGCCATTGTCGTAGCCTCCGCATTTGGCTTTCACAAACCTGAAGGCGTTGCGGTCTGCAGCCGCTCCTAGTATCTAGCGACGTAATATTTAAACAATATTTCAGAATGAGAAATGCTGTCGTCGCGGTGCTGCGGACAATAGTAGTAGGCTTCCGGCGAGCCCAGGACTTGTAGAATGTCGCGACAATGTGATGCCGCGATGCCACCGCACCGTGACGACGCCATCTTGTAAGCGACGTACTCGTTTGTCACCCGTATGGCTCCTAACGGATATGCCCATTTATAATCGTTTATGGTTTGAGTGACTTAAGTCACGGCCGCGGGCCGCTGCGACCAGCCGCTCATGCGACTTGCGACCTCTGCATACGACACTCGGCACTCGGCACTCGGCAGTCGGTACTTGGTGTCGTCCAGACGAAAAACAACGAGTCATAAGTCGACGTGGTTTCCAAGTTCTCGTTGTTAGGAGAGTTACAAGTACTGTTTTGATTATTTCTTTCCTGTCAAATACTTCTTCACCATTTCCAAGATTAAATGGTGCAGATTAGCCTATCCGATGTTGCCAATTCATTTTTACAATATTTATAACACTTTTAAATATTACACTGCTCTTCAAAGCTACTGACAGTTTACTTTTGTAAATTTTTGCTATCTACACGATTGTGATCCATCGTTATAATCTGTAGTTACACTAATTTTATCAATGAAAACGCTAAGGAAACGCCATTCATAACCTGAGGGTGTGAAATGAATGTCAAATCTAAACAAACGAGTGTTTATAATGGGAACACAAGCTCCTTATAATTGGCGGACCCTGACCCGGTGAAGGTGGAAGTCCATAATTCAGAGCGGGCGATGTCACTAAAATAAGGTCCGAACAATAAAGAAACCGCGAGAGGCCCCTTCGTGTAGGATACCGTAAAGAACAGAAAGGCCGTCTTACGACAAGTGGAAGAAGAAGGGGATATTTATATTCAAGGCATGTTGCTGTAAGCCGCTGAACATCAAACATTGATAAATTTGTCAGGAGTAAGAAATTATTTTGTCAGATGAGAATTGTGGTGGCGCGTGAACAGAGAGAGAGAAAGAGAGAGATGGAAGTAGATTCGCGTCTTCCATAGGTGCGAGTGAGATGATGCAGACTGGTTCTCGATCTAACCTGAATACGAAATGTATGTGTTAAACGAGCAATTCTTTTTTATTCTCTCTCTTTAACTTAGGGGTGACTAACTAGTGTTGCTTCGTAATCGGTTATATAACTCGACACTAATCAAACGCCTAATTGAGTTTCTCGGGTCCCGCATCTCTTTTATTGTAATACTTCTATCAGGGCACTCTTCATATTCATCCTTCCGGTTGTCTGACTTTGTCAGTCTGTTTTACGATTATTTATTTCTTTCCATCCCTAGCTTCACTGTTTCTCGAAATGATTTGGTTGTTCAGAATTACTCGAGTTATTAATTTGTTTTACGCGATAGTATACAATACGCCTATGTTAGTTAAGTTTATGTCCCTGACATCTGTTCACGTAATCCGAAGTAGCAATCCTATGTTAAAATACTGGGGTAGTCGTAAAATGTCCAGTGTTGGAACGCACACCTCCTTACACATCTGTGCTAACATATAGGATTAATATGTAGGACTATCGGGAAAAGCAGAATGGGAACGCCGTTCCCACGAGTTCCCAATCCACCCCCTCTGTGCAAAACTCGCGTAGTTACAAAACCTGGTACTATAACGAGTACATGACAACAATGTATTAAATAAGGAATGGCTAAACAATAGTAAAATTCCCTACTAACATAAAGTTTCTTTCCAGGTCAAAATCTGGTTTCAAAACCGGAGAAGCAAATACAAGAAGATGATGAAGGCAGCCCAACAACAAGTGTCTACTCCAGGCGGCAACTCCAACAACGGCGGCAGTGGAGGTCCTGGCCACGGGATGCTGGGTAGTGGTCAACCTCATACTCCTGGAGCCCTCCCTGGACCCAACAGTCCGCAGCCCCCCGCCGGTATCCTAGGAGGTCAGTAATACTTTCTACTGGTACCATCACAAAATGTTTTATCAATCACAAACGGGTTACTGAATTAAATTGGTTTCCCACTACTTCTGTCAGCCAATGAAGTGTTCAAGCCTTGATCCGGTCAATACACTATAGTTCAGTTCCTTTATCTAAACAATTCGACGAGTTCAAATCCAGCCTCCTGAACGATCTCGAATCACATATTCAAGGTTGGTAAAGAATGAACGGAAGTAAATTCAATAAACCCAATGCAAACAAATTGATAAACAAACAAATGGTTTATTTGGTGACAACAATGACCCTCTGGCGCGCGACTATCACTCCTCACTCCAGGGGTCGACTCATAGGGGAGCAACAGCAAACAGCTCAATTATATTCGAGTGGTAATCATTCACCAAATTGCCTTTTGTCAAAACCTCAGAACTCAATACAATACTTTTGCTATAGTATCGACACTAAAAAGTAGGATACTTCTGAACGAGTCTGTCACGGACAAATACGATTTATAATGATTTAAATGTTAAACTATTTCACCAGTAATGATGTCTCTGTTTTGGTATTAAAGCTAAAGTTTTAGCTCGATTAACTGTCACATTGGATTTCACTTTTAACTCTTGCCTCACGTAGTTGTTCCATCTATTTGTTAAGTTTGTTATTTGTTAAGTGCCATAAAATAATCGGACCGTTGTGGTTCCCAACACTCTACATACATTTTCTGGTACAATCCTGATGGTATGGTTTCATGGTCAAAAGTAGATTTTTAACCATGGTCTTCGTTATGTGGCTAAACAAATTGGCAACATTTTCGACTTTTCGGTATATGTTATGTTGTAGTAACAAGACTATTTGTTTTCAGGTAACGGATCGTCGAGCGGTAGCCAGCCTAGCCCTAGTGGTGGTTACATGCCTCACCCCGGCAACCACGGCACTCCGACCCCCAGTTCGACGCCCGTCAGCGACATGTCGCCTCACGGTGTCTCTGGGTCTCCGCCCCTGGTCGCGTGGGACATGAAACCCAACATCGCGCCACCTCCTACCCATCACCATCCTCACCACCACCCGGGCTACATGCCACAGTACTCTTGGTACCAGGCCGCGGATGCCAACCAAGGACTGCTCACGTAAGTAGTTAAACCTGCTAACATAACCAATATACTGTAGAACCTTGATAACAAGACCCTTATTGGGATTGTAAAATAAGACTTGTTATCAAGATTGATTTCTTATTGAGGTTTGTAATAACATGTGATTAGGGGTAAAATAATTTTAAGGGGATTTGAAAATGACACTTGTTATCGAGGGCCTTCTTTTCAAGGTTCCACACATTGTTCTTGTAAACATACATATTTCTTTACTTAAAGAAGATATAAAACTGACTACTTAATAGACTAATCTAAGTAGTCTGTCGAACATAATGGCCGTCATATCGGATTCATGCAGCCATACGTCGTGATAATCTACAATTCAACTGACATTAAGGTTGAATTAAGGTTTCCACTGAAGATGTATTTATGCAATGCATCCGATACTTCAGGCATCCACCAATTCGATGACGCGGTTATTCCCTGAAATACATGACACTTAATATGCAATTAGAGTGGTTGGGCAAACTTGCTGATTGATGTATTTAGATCATTTTAGTTTAAAAAAATACTATTTCATGCAATAAAACTGTCGTTTTTGTTAAGGGAAACATTTGAAACATTGTTCACTTTTATTAGTTTTAAGTGTACGTGCTTAAAGTGTATAGAAGAAAATTAAATTTTGGTCACATTAGAAAGCTATTCCGAATTGCTTGCCAATAAAACTTTCACTTTGAAAAAACAGTTTGTTTATTCGGCCAACTATATCAAAAATAAATAATTGCTAGTACTTGTTTTTAAATATTGGTAAATTCATAAGTACGGTACCTAAATACTTGAATTCCCTAATATCGCTTAACACTAAAACACCAACGTATTTCTACCTATCCTCGTTTCGTTTTAACAGGAAAACGGCAGTGATGATAATTATGGTTGAATTAATGGCTGTGTTATAATGAATCTCATTCGATTATTTGCGCTTTAGAACAGATGTCCAACACAAAACTAAATCCAGTGGCATTTTTTAGTCCCATCGGTTACATAATTAATTGTCATTTTCGTATAATCTTTCGTCCAAGAAAACTTTGCACGACTAACAAATACACCCAATAATAGCAAAAAAATATTACCAACCTTTTAGTTAAATTTCAACGGCAACCCTTAATCAAAACTTTTAGAATTAAAGTAACTTTCCCTTACGTAAAAAAAAAAAAATACTTGTCTTATTCCCATTTCATTATCAACATAATGACTCATATGTTTTATTTATGAGACTTATTATTTTGTAGCCTAAAAGGACCAAAAATAAAACTCTTCAGAACCATGTGCACCCAATAAGATCAAGACATACATTTGCAAAAACTTACCGTATTTGTGTGATTATTAGAACAACTTAACATTGCATAAAAGTCTTACAAAATGTATAACGCATCACATATGGATATTTACCCAAACAATGCAGTAGATAAAAGATACTGTACTTAAAAAACATAAATTTGTGTCAAATGTTGATATGTTGTATAAGGAAAGTACATTTTCAAAAAGGTTCTAAATTATTGTTACAAAATCTTTGTTAATCAAATCTTTACGACAGCAACTGTAATAAATTTAACCAACAATATAATTTCCCACATAACACAACCGTGTAACTGTTTGAATGATTATTTAATAACAGTTATCACACATTGCACCGTTTTCGTGGATAGGATTCTATACCTTAAAGAACGGGGAAAGAGCCCATAATTCTAAGTTAAAACGTTCGGGAATGTTTTAAAATGTAGTACCCTATAAAACTATACATTTGATTTAATATATTTTTAAGTATACGATTCCATTGTTGATATTTATAAATATTAGGTATAAATGTTGGTTGAATGTATTTGCAATTTTGAAAACAGTCTTCAGGACTCATCTGTCCTATACATCGTAATCTGTCCAATTATATTTATAAAAGTATTTACGCGTTATTTACTAGAAATGTTGCCTAGAAATATTTACTTTAGTGTCTGGAAATACGTTTAAATTATATAAATATGACGTCCGCTGTATTAATGTAATCTGTTCGTTCTTTATAGTAAATATTTAAATCTTGACAAAATTGCAGATTATAAAGGTAATTCAGAGTATCTTGTATTGGACGTAAATTGTCTATGTTCATCGTATATGTTAATAATTGTTACAAAATTTGAATGTGGTACATGTTGTATTGTGGAATTATCAATCTACGATAGTCAAAATCAGATTTAAATAAAGTAGAACCGATGGATAGGCTTAAGTCATGTTTATACTATTAAAAGGTTTACACTTCGATTCGTAAAGCGTTTTTTTATATTTAATGAGTTATTGAGAATATGTGTGTTAGACATTATAGTTATAATTAGGATTACGGGCACGAACTCGTAATAAAAAAGTCTTGAGAAAGTGAAAATTCTAAAATAATTTTTGTTTACAGAAAAATGATGCACGATTCAGCGTTCTATTCGAACCAACAAGAAAAGTCGTGTTTAACGTAAGTGCATCTTATATTACTATTTGAATTTCCGTTCATAGTTATGAATGTTTTGTAGGAAAATTAGTCTTAGCTGTAAAGTAGTTTTGTTAATTAATACGACTCGTGAATGTGTGTTGTTTTTTTACATGAGAATGATGGTATGCGTGGAAAGTTTTCTTGTCCGGATAGAAGGCGTGTTGCGGCACCGGTGAGAGACGGTGAGACGGTGGGATACCGAGGTCTGCATGGCAAGGTCTAGCCGGGTCCCGGGTCTCAGACCAGACTGTAGGAGCCGATGGGAACGCCTCCTCTACCCCTGGGTCCCATCCTCATTGAAATCGAATTACTCTCTGTCTTGTCCTAAAACGAGTTTCAGAAAAGCCCTCGCATCTTCTCACAATCGTTTGAAGAAACCGCTTTCCTGTTCTTAGGATTTCCTACTTTCAAGCAGCACGATAACAGTCCGTTCTAAATGAAAATAATCGTAACGACGTTCGCGATTCTTGTTAACGATCGGAATACTCGCCGTGTGCACGCAATACAGTTGAAAGTATTTATAATTCAATTACGACAATGGAACATTCCTAAAATGTGGCAGTGTACACGCAAATGAGAGAGACGCGCGATCGCTACAGCGGTACAGCTCTATTAGGCTTACCGTAACCACCTGATACCGCGAATTGCTGTTTGTTTAACCTGGCTCTCTGACACAGCCCGACTCATGTCGCAATTGCCAACGGATTCAACACTTTTTACTACACTCCATTTACGATCAAACACTGATATACGATCATTGTTGTTAAATTATTAATTTAGAATGCCAAAAATAGAAAAAGTCGATGATTAAACTCATCCCAAATTTTTGGAGTATCACTCATTAGGACTAATCAGGTAAGCAATCTTCAGCTGGCGTACCCGTGCGTGTAGGGACTAGGCAATAAGAAGATGTATAACTGATAATTATTGACGACGTTATTCATTTTACTCGTATATGTGTACTTTTGTTTTGACTTATTTGCTATTATGCTTATCTACGGACATTTATTACGCCACATTACTGGATTAAAAGTGAAAAGAATTTTTAAACTATGCCGTTGCAGTAAATGTTAGTAGTTATAATACATGAGTCTCAAGCAAGTGTGAAGCTATTGCCACCGCGAGTATGAAAAGGTTTAATGTGGCAATGTCAATGGCGGTGAACTGGTTTCAAATACATAGAACATGACGATTTAAGTAATTGTACTTATCTAAGTTCTATCCAACATCCTTTTCAATAATCTTCTATAACGAAAACTAATCATTTGGGGACTGTTACTGTCCACGAATACCATTCACACTTGACAAGAAAATCAGCACAGGATTGTTTCATGTTTAGAACCATTGTATATCCTGTAAAAATATAGTTTTACAGTTTTGTGTTGCTATTGTTACAGGGTTTGGCCTGCCGTCTAACGAAGACATTCCAACTATTAGTGTACAGTGAAGGACCGCCAACATAGTGTCTGTTACCGACCAGATCTCGGTTGCCTGGGCCGTGTTGCCAGCGTTGCCATCGCCTAGCCTCTACAACGGATGTCCACTGTCCAGTTACCGACCAGATCTCGGTTGCCTGGGCCGTGTTGCCAGCGTTGCCATCGCCTAGCCTCCACAACGGATGACCACTGTCCAGTTACCGGCCAGATCTCGGTTGCCTGGGCCGTGTTGCCAGCGTTGCCATCGCCTAGCCTCCACAACGGATGACCACTGTCCAGTTACCGACCAGATCTCGGTTGCCTGGGCCGTGTTGCCAGCGTTGCCATCGCCTAGCCTCTACAACGGATGTCCACTGTCCAGTTACCGACCAGATCTCGGTTGCCTGGGCCGTGTTGCCAGCGTTGCCATCGCCTAGCCTCCACAACGGATGACCACTGTCCAGTTACCGACCAGATCTCGGTTGCCTGGGCCGTGTTGCCAGCGTTGCCATCGCCTAGCCTCTACAACGGATGTCCACTGTCCAGTTACCGACCAGATCTCGGTTGCCTGAGCCGTGTTGCCAGCGTTGCCATCGCCAGTGTCCAATGCCCAGCTCCGATGTACATAGAATTTTTCTGTTCCTACGTCCGTTACAGCACACACACACAGACAATCAATCGTCTCCTCTGGCCGCACATCCTATAGCGATCGCCGTTTGGTTTTGTTGGCAATTAATATTGTAAGTCGGTTATTATAAATACGTTGTAATCTAGGACGTTTAAAATTATAAAATATTCGTTATTTTGTTGATTCTGTTGAAGATGCGTTCTGTATATTATTCTTCCGCGTTTGGAAGACCTCGCCTATCTAGCTCGTTTCACTTCGGTTAGGGACGTGAAACCCGTTGTGAATTGTGTGAATTTTGTTTTTGTCATTTGAGCCCTTGATAAATCTTTAATTAACTTTTTGTCATTATTTTCAGAGAAATCAAGCTTAAAATCCAGAGTGCGTTTTGGGAAACCGATCTTTCCCGGGACGCAAAATATATGTTAAATACCAAACATTAAACCCCAGAAAATTTTATATAATCCTTAAAATTTTTCTAACAATTTACACTTTCGGAAGATAAATGAACAACGAACATTGAGAAACTGAGTAGGATGGTAATTTCACATATAGCCTTTAAACCAGAGTTTAAATTAAGGTCTTAAAATTTGGATTTTTAAACCAATATTTCGTTGGTTGTAGAGGACTTATTTGTTGTAAAATAATAACACATCACATTTTAATAAATGACAAAGTTACTATTGTGATTGTAATACACTAATATTTACTTATAAATTGTGAGCTATCTCTACTTTCATTTTATAACTTGTTATTTCCAATTGTGGTTTAGGTGCAAACTTATTTATGTTTATTTGTGACCATCCTATTTCCTTATCTCACTCCTCATTCTAGAACTCGCTTCCTGTTACCTCTTAAGTAGTTATATTAAATCACATCGTTTTTATCGATGTTTCATCCGTCCTTTATATGTTAATTGTGCAACTATTTTAAACTTCAATCGCTTTGCGCCTTATAAAAAATGCGATACGTTCTTGAATAAAGGAAAAGCATTTTTAATCTCGATCCTAAAGTTTCTAAAGTTAAATGTTTTTAATTGTTTTACTTCTTTTTTCTTCATAATTATCGACACCTTCCCTTAATACTTCTTGTAAATTACTTCGTGTATTATCTGACTTCATATAGCCATCTTTCCTATTAAAAGGTGGTTTGGGGACATGATTATTTTAAAGTTAATCGACGAGGAGCAGAGGTCATGCGACACGCAAGCTGATGTCTTAGTCGCCGAGATCGATCTTGTCAAATATTCATTTAAGAAAATCCTTTTGTGTCGTGGATTCTTTTGGTGATAAATGTACGTAACTTCATTGCGTGTTTCTGGACAAAGAAGTAAACACATTTCAATTTTACCGATCTTATTTTATTTTAGAAGCAACTTAAATTAAAAACTTAAAATGTTCTTTCGTTGTTATGAAACAATATTCAGCTGGTCAGCTGTTTTGGAACCACAATAGACGTCCAAAAATGTTAATTGGAATTAAACTGAAACCGGTAAAGCTCCTCGATTAAATTGATATTTTACAACTAAACTTGGCGTTCCTCGTTCTAATAGACTACGCCTCGCCAGGAATCCACGCCAATTCCTACACTTATTTAAATCCGCCTTTAAGCTGACTCACAACTAATGAATATTCACAGGCTCATTTCCATGCGGGTTAATCCGTCAAACACCGCGGCAGAGGCAAAACAGTCCATCTGCGACTGTGACTGCGACTGCGACCGTCGCGGTCAGTCCATCTCCATCACAATACACCTCAGATTACTGATTGATTATATTTTCCTTCTTTCCCTGTTTTAACTCTTCATCCTTCTATTTTCCGTACTTTCTCTGATATCAGATTTTTTCTTTTCCATCCTCACCCTCTGGCCAATCTTTTTTTATTCTAATAAAGTCCTTCAGCCTCAATGTACCGATGATTGTTTGTCTTCTGAATGTTTTATGTGATGTATTTTACTAATTAGTTTAAGGCTTACAAGCTCTGAGCCATTTTTGTTTTAATGTTTTGGCGATGACGTAACCTAAGGGTCTGTAGTCCCAAGTGTGACCTGTTAGTCGTGTATCCCATGTTCATTATAGAATAGCTATAATTTTCACAAATTTGTAATTTGTACATATGATATATTATAAAAGAAATTTGTGTAGTAAATAAAATGGCAAATTATGTGTATAGCGAATCTCTGAGTTCTTATTTCCCGACTGTTTCATGTGTTGGCTGACTTAACACTAGGTAAAATGGGTATCTGAGTTGATGATCAAATCATAAGTGTGGCAGTTCCATAATACGAAAAAACCAATATTGAAAATAAAGGGTAGAGAAACAAATTTAGCAATTGGCACTTCTGGAGGAAGTATTTTTATATTTAAAGATACACAAATTAAAACAATTCAAAATGATAATGTATGAACAACAAAATATTATTTACGAACCTACGTAATCAACCTGTGTGGACATGTAAACATATAATATGTGGTAAAGATAGGTAGGTTCGAAAAATAGATAGGTAAACAAGATAGGAAGGTGGTAGGTTCGAAAAATGTATTTACATCAATAATCATACCGATTAATATAACAAAATCAAGCAACTGAACTGAATAACAAATCCTCAGTGTATTTTTGTTACAATATGTGATATCTACGATTTGGCAGGTTAAATTTGTCAAATGAGGAAAATGAAGATGTCAATAGCTCATTAGACTAGTGAATAGAACAAAAGGCTGGTATGGTCTAGTGGCCACATTATACGATGTGAGTGTGGAGTGACAGGGTTCAAATAATTATACAGTTGAACATCGTCACCGTCTCATCTAGTATCTAGCAAGCTATGTAGAACTAGTAGATACCACTTAAAATAAAATATTACATTCGCTAAACCGCTGCAAAACGGTTCTGTTTAATACATTTTTTTTGTTTTACATGGTCGCTCTTTTTATCAAAAGAGGAACAGAATCAGCTGAAATGAAAATATTTCCTTTGTTAAATTTGTGAACTGCTATTGATGAAGACAAAACTTCCAACGAAAATCTTATTACTATTCCAACCTGTTTTTATTTATAATCATGTAAGATTGTAAAAGTTAGCAACAACATCTTTATTTTCCATTAAACATAAACATACAATATAAATCGTCCCAAATAATATGAATACAAAATAGACTCACAACAAAGCAAATCACAAACCAAAAAAGGCAAACAGCAAACAAAACAAAATCAAACCATGCACGAAAACCTACAGGGGAAAAACTCATTCAGTCCCTTAAATAGAAAACACTTACGTACAGTTTATTTTGGAATGTCGAAAAACCCGCTAATCTTATAAAGTGGAAAAGCCAATAAAAGTATTCTAAGGTTTTTTTTTATTTGTCGTATTTTTGCTTCCTATCTGTACATGCAGGCAGCTTCATGGTTGGCTTACTAGAATATATTTGTGGTTTTCTTAAACTATCCATGGTATTTTTATTTCTAATATTATATTTACGCTGATAACCTCTGCGACAAAGTGACTCGAGATAATTTGTTATATGTACAACTGATACAAAAACATACATATTACACTCAGTCATGATTTATTTACAAAGAGAGATCTGCAAGGGGCATCAGCCTTGGCATTGCCTAGGATTCTTACTGCTTTCTTTCGATTTAGCAAGATAGCTCAACCCCCCCCCCCCCCAGCGTCTGAGCTAATACCAAATAACACCTTAAAATAGGGGGTTTTCAAGGAGTTTTTATTCGAACAACTAATTAGACTTTTAAAAGGACCGGGAGAGTTTGCTGCTCCAACGGTTTTGAAACAATAACAATACCCAAGACCTTAACAAAAGTATATTTTATTACAATGATATTTTCCTATCACTGCATGGAAATGATCACATTGCCACTCCTGTAAACAGTACGCAAAATAGCTCATTTTCGCTCTAGAGCAGGAATGACCATTCCCGCTCGCTAAATCACTATATCAGCTGTTTTCATTTTTGGCGTTTACCTATATAAAACTCTGACATAAGGTAAGCAAATAACATATCCCAAATGACATTTTATATACGAAAAGAGGTATTCTGTGATTTATGATAAGTTTATTATGGTGGTAGAAAAATCTTGTATGTACAGTATTACGAGCACAGTCATTGCCGCTTCGCTTCGTGCGGCTATCTACAGTTCGCGAGCGGCAGTGATGTACTTTGCGCTCTCAACACACAAATAGCTATTATCGTTCTTTTCATTAATTGAAATCTTAAATAATATTTTGAAATTGTCAGCTCAATGCATTGAGGGAATGATTTCATTTGATAATAATCTGACTCAAAAGACAATAACAAATAGTTTAATTATTAAATCGGTAACAGCTGTTTGTTTACATAGCTAAAAATACCCCTGCAGAAGCAAACCTGCAGACCAATGAAATTTAGATTTCCCTGATTGGACTTTTACTAAAACATTTCTATAAACATGTCAAATTTATTCCCTATTTAAAACATCACATTTATGAGTACTTAGGATTGCTGTTACGGGGACGGTAAAAAGGGGTTTTTATCAAATGTTAATAGTACAGAGTGGAGTAAACCAATTTGCAAAATGTCATAAAAACATGTCCTTAAACAAGCAAACTACAAGGGTTTTAATTTATCCATAAAAATATATAACATGGGAATTTGGAATGTAATTTTTTTTCTCCATAACCCTTAATAGTTGTATAACAACGATTCAAAATACAAAATTATTGGTTTTTTAAGCCTTACACGATAGTCGTAATAATAAATGGGCATTTCAATGTCTTGAGCTAGTGATAAAAAGAGTCACTTCATGCCTTGGTGATGAAATATACCATTTATTGCCTGATTTGACATCGAGATAGTTAGATCAATTCCTGATTGGTAAAGTAACTTATTTCCTGAAGGTAAAAATTAATAATACAAGCAAAATTTGCCTTCACTGTATTTGTACATTTTTAGCGAATTTCCCTATAGGGAAGTAGCTATTACCGTAGGTGGCACGGTAAGACCTAGACCCGGGACCGATTTACTTTTTCATTTTGATGTCCCCAGAGGCCAAAAACACCATTCGTTCAAATTTTTATATATGTATATATATATATATATATATATATATATACGTCCGTGAACGCGATAACTTGAGTAATTTTTGTCCGATTTTGATGAAATTTGGTTTAAAGGTGTAAAGCGGGATAAACTTGAATGATTTCGCGAACCAGCATGATCGGATGATGAGAACGGGGCTTTACGGGGGGTTTTATGGGGTAAAAATTGGGTTTTCTCACGTTTGACCCTCAAAACACAAAATTTTCCGATTTCTCTTTAGACCTTTTTAAAGAGCTTAAAAAAACAAATAATTTAGTATATAAAAGTATTTTTGTTCGATTATTGGTAACGGAGAAAATTAAAGAAATTGTAAATTTAAAATTCCCATGTTATTCTTATGGAGAATATTGTCAAATGTTGTAGTTTGCTTGTTTATCGATATATTTTGATCAAACTTGGCAAATTTATTTATTTTGTACTAAGCTATCAATATTTTACTCAAAAACACTTTATTAGTTTCCTTGTAGCAGCAAACCTAGGTACTCGTTAAACCTAATGTTATTAAAATATATTTAACTAATAAACTAAACAGACAAATGGAAATTCGCTTAGTCGGCAGGTTTGCTGCGGCGGGGGTATTTAAGGTTAAAATAAGAATCACCTATATCCCCTGATTACATTTAAGCTGTTTTATCTACCTAATATTAAATATAAGGTAAGTTGTGACATCTACCACGTCAAAACTGATAAGTGTAAGAACGAAGAAAGCATATTATACAAATCTTACGTTTTTTAATTCTCGTCTCTATACAATCGGCGCTTGATACTTTTATTTAAATCAGAGTTAAAAATAGTTGAGGATAATTTTATTATAAAAAGATATAGCAATATATTGACTCGTAGGGAGTTTTTTTACCCTTTTTGTTTGTAAGTTGATGTCCAGGCAATAGCCAGACATAACTTGTTAGCAGTCAAATAACATTATATCGAACAATTTGTTTTGTAGTCATTTAATAACAAATAAATCGTAATAAATGTAATCAACAAAAGTCGCGAAATATACATTTGTAATTTTGTCGAGACTGTTCAGACATATCTAGACATATTGTGGTAAATAAACATTAATATATCTAGGAAAATCAACTCTGCTAAATTTGCTCTTAAAAAGAACGATGATGATGGCTTAAATAGCCTCTCGTCATAAATGGCTGTACAAGCTTTATACTTTTTAGTTTTATTTCGTAAATTTATGTGGTAAGCTATTATATTTACAAGATTGCTTAAGATAAAGCATTACCACATATACTGGTTAATAGTAAGAATCTCGATGGCAGATAAAACATTAAATTTATGTTTCTAACGGATGGTTATAGAAATATGCGTTGTTGTGCGAAAAGAATTTTTTGCGATCAAGCCAAAATACGCATTTGGTATTAACCTTAACTCGCTAATAAAAAAATCTCCAATATCCACAATGTATAGGTTTTGATAAATATGAAAAGCAAAACACTGTGTCTCGTCAAATCCAACTATAGATATACCACATTATTGTATATTCTTACTTAGAAGTGCATCTGAGAACAATGGTTTTGGTATTCTTACCTATGCATACATTGAGTTAACTCAGTTGTCGCTCTTGGGATACATCATCTGTAGTCTATACATACACTAGTCGCCATGGAGGCGTACAGTTATCAGACAAACACAAAAAAATAAGTGTTCGTTGAGTTCATTCTACTATTTTTCAAGGGTGGGGTGAGGAAATGAGTTTACGCACACAGTTCATGTATCATGTAGTGAGGGACTCAAGCGGGTATAAGACCCTAAGACTACCAACTAAAAACCTCCTCCACTCTCCATACACTAGCCTTGAAACACTTGTTGCAGTTTGTCCTAATAGAATTGAGATGTCTGTACGAATAATATAACATACGATACAAAGGTTTGTGAATGGCCCCTACAGTGGCTTCAACAAACTGTAGGTATCATGAAGTGATCGGCCATCAGAAGAAAATAGGAGGTTGCGAGTAACACTGTGTATGGGGTTTTGTGAATGGCAGCGACAGTGGCTTCAACAATATAACCATTGGTAGGTACTGAATCATGAAGTGATCGGCCATCAGAAGAAAATAGG